GCCGGTCCTTCACAAAGATGCCACTCACGTGGCCCCACCGGATAGAAGCAAAACGGCTGAGAGGGCTAAAGGAGAGTGACTGAAGCTGCCAGTTTGGATGTGTTGAAGCCCTGTTTTTCTGCTGCAGGCCGCTACCAGGAAAATGCTGGGCACTAGCATCTTTGCACAGGCTCATTTCAAGCACGTTTGGAGGGGAACAAGATTGTGCTTTTCCTGTAAGGAGCAAGGGGGGGCTGAGGTGGGAGGGGAGAGGAAATGATTCCAGAGACAAAGTTTGGGAGGATCTTTGATAGTAACGGGGCAGACGGCAGAGGAGGAAACCAGCCAGCGAGGAAGACCCTGGGTACTTAGGCCTTCCTCCAGCAGCAGCACCAGAATCAAAGGGGAGTTACAATAATGCAGATAACACCGGGGAAAAAGCACTTTGAGGGGATCAGCTCACGAGAGCAAGTCAGGTGTCTAGCTTTTGATATCTGCCTCCCACAGTGCAGCTCCCTGCTCCTCCTTCCTCGCCACTGCCTGGACACTGATCCCCACATCCCATGGTCCCCCCAGCACCCAAGTCAGGCTCGTCTATTCATGTCCTGAGCACTCCTAAACTGGTTTCTACTCTTCGCCTGCCTGTAACAGCCTGGAGACACCCCAGAAGGCCTGGAGTGCTTCTCCTGCTATAATTGACAGGCACACAGCCTTCTGGGGGGGATTATCAGCGTTTCAGGTGCAGGTGGGCAGGCAGCTGTTGAAAAATAAACAGGTTCGGGAGCTCTAGGGACATTCCTGGTACTGCAGGCAGGGAGGGAGAGGAATATAATTACAGCTAGCAGCAGGAGAAGATATTTGCTTTGGCTTCTTTAAGCTGTGCACTGTGGGGCAAATTCAAGTTGGAGAAGGAGAGACAACTGTCCCTGTGTCCTCCCCCCACCCCCTCTCTGGTCCAACCTGCAGCTTCCACTCTGTCACATGAAAGGCAGGGAGAAAGGAAACCTAGTTTTCCAAAAGTGGATGCTAGCAGCCAAGGTAGCGTTTCAAGGCAGAGAAGGGGATCTAGGTCTCCCAGTACTTCACTGCTTCCTTTCCCTTCCCCACCTGAGTCTGCTGTCAAAGCTCATTATTAAAAAAAAAATTAAAAGGAGGATGGGGGAAATGCACAGCTTCAGCTTCCGTGATGCATGAAGGTCATCAATGTCACCATCAGTTATCGTGACATGTGTCACTCTCCCCGTCTTCTTCACGGGAGTGGATTTATCACCTCTTTAAAGGGAGGTAGCGCTGTGTATTTTACCCTTCCTGTTACTGCCTCCCTGCATCCAGACATCTCCCATTGCAGCTGCTGGGGAGAAGGAAGAATTCAGTCATAGTTCATCCCAAGCAGCCCTGCTGGCGGAAGGGGAAGCACTGGCGCGTGGGTGCTCATTAGCACAGGATTTGTACTGCTGCCTTCCGTTTTATTCACTTCCCTAAATTAGGGGAAGTGCGACTTCCCCAGACCTGCCATTTCTATTTAATTATCACACAGGTGCTGGCAACCTCTTGAACTCCAGAGCCCACCTTGCAATCAGATAATGGCACTGACCTGGTACAGTACCGCTCTTCCTGCACTACCCACTCGAAAAGAGGCTTCATTTTATTCATGCAGAACAACACCTTTGGTAGCAGCTGCATTTAGGGCCAGGATTAATATCAGTACCTAGGCACTCGCTGAACAGGCACTGGCTTTCCAATCAAAGCTGGAGCCTTGACAGCTGAACTGTTAAATGAATTAACAAGGCGAGAAGGGGGCTTGCCGAAGGGGCTGCGACTCCCCTCCTAATTTTGGTAAGTAGTGGCTTTCAATTTTTCTGTCATTTGTCAGGAGCCTCACACAGCTCACTAATGAGCAGGGCAGAGCTGCAGCCGGATGAGAAAGGCACCGTCAGAAGCATCTCCTACTTCAGTAGAGAGAGGGGTTTGCTTGGAGGGACCCCGGCTCAATTTTGCTCAGGTGGAAAAGGCTGGGCAGCTGTCCTGGCAAAGGCAGGGCTCCGTTTAGCACATGCCACAGAAAGAGGGCCCAAAGCTGATGCATGGTTAACCTCCACCTGGGCGAGTCTTGCACGTGTTGCGCCAGAAGCCTGTACGAAACGCTGTGATTTTCCGCCTAAAGCAAGAAAGGCCTTGCTTTACCTTTTTTGCTTGCTTGATATTCCCTCAGGAAAAGCCCACTTGTATCTCCCTCACCGTTTCACTGCTCACATCAGGAGACAGTGTCACCAATTCCCTGTCAAGTCGGCTGTCCCCATCAAGAGGTTCTCACAGGCATACTCATCCTCTTTCCTGGCCTGAGCTACAAAATGAGACCCAAATGGGCTCAGTTTGGAAAGGAAAAACATGGTGATAGGTAAGGTAGAGATGGTGATGTGGGACTTGGGTCAGACATCAACTCCCTCTTACCGGAGATGTTTTCACTGGGTTGTTTGATTCGACCCGGGGCAACTGAGAGATCGCAGTCTTATTAGTGTATTTTTAACAGATTATCAAGGGAGCCCAGAGTGCTGGACAGCTGCACTCTTACCACAATATAAAACTCCAGATACATCAATTGGAAGAATTCAGACTAACAGCAGAGACAGAAAGGAGGGCAGATCTACAGACGTCCCTCCTTGGGTGCAGCCAGCTACTTCTACCAGATGTAGAAACAAGGGATCAAAATCAGACTCTCTGAACTGCACATTGACCATGATAGTTTAGCACTGGCTCTGCTCTGTGCTGCACAAGACAAAAAGATCACAACCCTTGCCTGAAGTGCTTAAAATATAATATTTCCATCACGCTACTTTAC